CTCAGAATGTGACTGTATTTGGATAAAAGTTCTTTTAAAAAGTAAAACGGAGAGAGAGGGAGAGGGAGAAAGGAGAAAAATGGGAGATGAAGCTAATATGGTGATGATTATAAAATGATAGAATAAAAGCCAAAAAAAATGCATTGAGTAGGAAAAGATGAACCATTAGGGGTAAACATAAAGTTAAAAGTACATACAATTTTGGGGCTAGGAGTGTAGCCCAGTGGTAGAGCACTTGCCTAACATGCGCAAGACCCTGTGGTCAATTCTCAGCAGCACACATAAGAGTGTGCATACACACACACACACACACACACACACACACACACACACACACTGTATGAATTATTGCACTGGAATTCCAAACACCATGAGTACAGGATGATTGAGGCATGACTTGATAGCTGCGCAGATTTCTGCTGTCTTCATAGAATGGGGATGGCTCAGGTGAGACAAGACTGTGCCATGCTGTAGTTCACATGTCGTATCTGGCCACACATGATTTCTTTCCTGAACACTTCAGTTTTAGAAGAATATGCCCAAACTGGATGATGGCCAGAGAGTAAGAAGGGAAGTTACTATCAGGTCTTGCAAGGGAGAACTTGGGTTTTTTGGCATAAGCGAAACTCACAGGACACAGAATGGTTTCACAGGGATGTGAGCAGCACCTGGCAGAGCTAATGCTCAGAGAAGGAAACGTGGCATGGAGACCACCCCACGAAGAGGCAGGGATGCCTTAGATCCCAGGTCAGGAAAATGAGGGGCAGGATGAGTTGTGCCACAGGAGTCTGCTGCTAAGAGCTGCTGTCTGCCTCCCACACAGCATCTGGGGACCAAGGAAGCCACCCCAGCAGTCTCATCAATACCCATTGCTGCCATGTGGGCCAGGGCTGGAGCCAAAACTTAGTGTTCCCTGTCTCCTTCTATGTGAGGCTCTCTCTCCTATCCCATACAGCCACACATGGGCTCTTGAACTTCTTAAGGCATGGGCTTTTAGGAAGTTGGTGAATCTCTAAATTGCATTGAAACGTTTAAAAACAATAGAAGCCTGAGGGAGAGACAATATGGCAAGACTTTTTCTCCCTGCCAGTGAAATCAGTTATTCTCAGCTACCTCCTTTCAAAAGCTAGATATTATCCTTATTCCTATGCCCTTTGACTTGATTTGTGCTTTTGAGGTATTCAATTGCCTTCAAATAAGTACCTCAACTATCCAGTGAAATTCTGAGGTTTCTTTGACTCTACGACTCCGATATTTTCTGGAGGTAGCTGGTGTCAATTTGCTAGGCAACCAGAGTAGTGAGCGGGAAATAGACTCGAGCACCAGAAAAGTCGAAATTTAAATCCTTGGTTTGCCCCTTCTAGCTGTGTGACCTTGAGTAAGTCAGTGGACCACTTACTGTGATGCCAAGCTCTAGACTCTAGACTTGTTTCTGGTGGGAAAGAACATGAATATTTAAAGAGAAAAAGTCTCAAAATACATATGAGACATTGATAATAGTCCCATATATCAAAAATACTTATTTTCCTCATCATAGGAATAATGAAAATGAAAATTCCAGGGTGTTGCTAAGACTTAAAACAGATGACTAAATGTGAAGTTCATAGGAAAGATTGTTTCGTGTTAATTCAGCAAATGTTTTCTCCCTTCTTTCTCCTCTGTTGTACCTTCCTTTCCACTTGAGGGCTTTGTTTATGAAGGAACATTACACCAAAGAATTCCTCCTGTCTCATCAAGGCAGACCCACAATGCTTGCATTTTAACAAACCTGTTCCCCTCACTAACAATCACCTTCAAGGCACTAGGAACCTCTTGAGTATGTGCTGGCATTTCCCAATGTTATCTGATTCAGTTCTAATTGTCTCAAGTAAACACTGTAATTTTATGGTAAAGTCTCTTATTACTAAGTAGAGACCACACCCAGTCTGTACTTGCTAAGAAGTCCTTTGCCTAGCTCATTTTATTAAGTGTCTCTGTAGATGACACAGTCTCCAGGAAGCATTTTCTGGCTGCTTAGAGTTGTTTCGTTAGAATTAATCCAATTTAATTGCCCTAATTTAGTTAATCTCTCTGTGAGATCCAGTATGCAGTGCAGCATGTGGATCAGACAATCCTAAACTCAAATCTGGTTCCACTTCTTGGAAGGCTTTGTAGAGTTGTTTATCTTAAGCCCCCTTTCCTTGTCTGTAAATTGGGGTTCATGGAATAGGGTTAATGGAGAGCATGCAATGCCTACACAGTGCCTGACACATGGTAAGCAATAAGTAAGGGCTGGTCACTATCATCCTCCTCTTCCTCATCACCATCATCATGACATACTATTGTACTAGCTCACCTAATGTGTTTGTCTTCCTCAAGCAGGGACCGTGTCTTCTGCTTACCTTTTATCCCCTCTGCTTCACACAGTTTTGGAGTAATTGGAGTTTAGTAACTTGATTCTTCAATGGTTGTGACAATTCTGGTGGCCAAATAACAGCAGTGGCTGTCAAGTGTTTGCTATGCCTGCCCCATGAGCCACATAAATAATTCTCATCTTTTATACCCTCAAAAGCTGTGAGATTAATTCTAGTTCCTTTAAGAGTAAGTCTGACAGAGTAGATCCTAGACTGAGGAGGGGAGATGGTGCAGAGACCACAGGATCTCTGAGATGGCAGGGACTTTCTCAGTCTTCCAGTCCTCTGCCTTCATCTTACAGAGGACATGCTAGTACACAGCTGCAGCTCAGAGTGAGTGTAAGTGCAAGTTTGAGGACCCAAGAAGAGGGGTTTAGAAGACAATTGAGTAAGAGACCTTTTAGTTTACTTTTTTTTGTATGGAATTTGCTTTTTTATTCTTCAAGGATAATTCTTAGCTAAGTGCTTATAAATGATAACAAATGTAAAATAATAATTAGCTAGAGGAGATGTCACTTGTAAAGAAGGAAAAAGTGATGTTCTTTACAAATGTAAATGTAATAACCACATATTAGGCAGTTCATTAAGGTATCACTTGCTTTCTAAATATGATCACAAGTATATTTTGAATACATAATAAGCCAGATTCCATATGTGAGATATGAAAAAAATTTGAGCATTTTAATATGCTATTTTAAGTATTTCCATTCTTAGAAGCCATTTCTCTGCTTTAGAAGTGCTTCGTTTATCTCTTGCTGACAACATAAAACAGAATTCCGGATTGATTTTCCAAGTGCTCTTCTTTTCATCCATTGCATTTATCCAAATACACCATAGGAGGGCAGCACCCACCTAGATAACTTACAAACAGTGTGTCTGGTGACCTTATCAAAATGTGGTAGCTGCCTAAATTGGGGCAAAACATTCCTAAATTACAACACAGATTTAAAAAAAAAAAAAAAGCTATTGGAAAAGACAAAAGGAGCAGACAAAGATTTTTTTAAAAGGCAAAGGAATGTATTCCTGAAGACTCTGAGTTTCTACAAAAGAGAACCATTGGGGCTAATCAAGCTGCAACAGGGGAAAACAGTTAGGCTAAGAAACCCCTCACATTCTGAGAAAAGACTTGTAATTATTTGAAAGGGTTTTACTGAGTATGATAATATGAACACCAGCTACCCAGCCCAAACGAGATTAATAAAAAATGATTAGGAAACTTGTCTTTCAGGGTAACTTGAATCCCTGTTCCTAAACCAATGCCACTCACATTTGGCTTAGAATAAACTACTTTCTTTTTCCTTTAAAAAGAAAGGAAAAATGAATGAGTGACTTAAAGTTACTGTGCAACAAAGACCAATATATATAGGGTTCCTTCAATAATGATGTTCTCTTGATTGAACTCAAATTCAGCCTGCCTTATATAGTGCTAAATTTTACATTGGACAGTTTTAGTGTGTTTCCAATGTCTTACATAAAACCATCAGCAATTTTCATAAATGTTGATATTCTGAAGTTATATAGGCAGGTTTTGTTATAATAGAGACTATATTGGCTTAACAAATAATGCTTAGGTACAAGCTTATGAATGTAAATTTCAGTATAGCCTCATTAATTCAAGAATTTGTAATAATTTGGGTTAAATAGTATCTCCATGTCTAAACACAAAAGCAAATGCTTGAATTACCTAAGACTAATTTTCAAGTCTAACTCCAAGTTATACTTATCTGTAGAACTATTTTTTTCAGAAATATAATGTATGCATTTCTGACCAGCCCCTTGGATGATTCTAGCATGGTCAACCTGGTACCAGTAAACACAGTGACCTTCTTCGATTTCTCAGAACACCAGCACAGGGTCTTGGAGCAGATAGTTAATGTAACTGATCAGCTAAAGCATGGGTTTTATGGGCTAGCACTTCCTTAAGCTAGTGTGGGTCCTATCATGTGGCTATAAAGTGATAGAAACCAAAAACAAAGTAGAGTTCCCATTAATTCAGCTTAGATTTCTCCATCAGTCCAAGTTACTAACAACTTATTCTGTAATAAACTAAGATTTCTGCTAACAATTCTTGTTTTCAACCTAGAAAATCCATTTTTCAGAAAACTGTAAAGATGTTCTCTTTGTCCATATCCTTCTGTTAATCATGGAAAATACTGTATTGCATGCCTTTCTCAGTGTACCTTCAGGACTGACAATATGCCCATGTGCCCTGCCAGTAAAGTCAGTTATCTGAATATATTCCATTTTGGAACAACAGCTCAATGTACTAAGCACCATCATGTTCAAGTTGAGAACTTGGAGATCTTTTGTTATATTAATAGATCCTTCATTTTTAGAGGCATCAAAACACCAAATATGAGTGGCCACATATGTCCTGATGTACTTGAGAAATCTTGCTACTAATTCAGTGTCACTAATTTCTAATGCTATATTAATTAAGAAAAAAGCCTATTCTATTGGCTTCATTTGGGGGAAAACTGCTCAATGGAGATGTTTCTGTTTGATGCACATTCCTCACTAAATCTCAGGCACTGCTTTAGTTACTGTCACTAACACCTTGCTCTGTCATCTCTTTGTATACATGTCTAATTTATCAGTTTCTTGTAGATTGTCAGCAGCCTGCTGCCTCCGTACCGCCACAGTGCTCACAACTAGCCGGGAGGCAAGACTGCCCAACTGTCAGGTAAATTCTCATGTCCTTTCTCCTCCACCAAGCTGCATGTGGGACTCCTGGACCCCTGGTTCCTCTTCCCAACACCATAACTGCCTGTACATAGCTATATTTTGCTACATGTCATGTCACATATGGGCTACACAAATACAGTGGGAACCTGGAGTCCATATGTGTTTCATGAGATACAAGAGAGAAAATGATGATGTGACTGGCCACCAGCAGAGACCAAGGCTGTCTCTGCCCCATCCTGGTGAGAGTACCCACTTGCATTTGGCCAGTGTTTCATTGCCTTCCACTGTAAAACCTGGACTTGTTAGGAAGTTTGTTCTGCTTTTCTGTTTGTCTTGTCTTTTTGTCCTTCAAATATATTTCTCAGGCAAAAAACAGGAAGAATATATAGAATTAGATGTGAAACATATCTCCTATGTGTTCCAGGAGAGCTTTATAAAAGTGTGTCTTTTTCCTATTCACTCAGTTCTCTCATTAAAACTGAATTTGAAGCCAGGCGCCAGTGGCTCACACTTGTAATCTTAGCCACTCAGGAGGTAGAGATCACAAGGACCACAGTTCGAAGCCAGTCCAGGCAAATAGTTCATGAAACCCATCACTAAAAAAACAAAAAAATCAAAAAAAAAAAAAAAAAACGCCTTGGTGGAGTGGCTCAAGGTGTCAGAACTAAAAAAAAAAAAAAAAAATTGAAAGGTAGAGAAAACATTCATATTCAAAAAAGAATATTTGCAGTCAGTGTGCCTTTATGTGAGATGAACTGAAGATTTTCAAAACATTTTTATTAGCATGTATTAGTTGTCCATTTTTATTAGCATGTATTAGTTTTATTAGCATGTATTATGGAAATATGACATTTCCATAAAGCTTACAATGTACTTTGTTTAGCTTCACCCCCTCCATCATTCTCCCTTCTTTCCCCTACCCTCTTCTGAAAATAATTTCAACAGGTTTCATTGTTCTGTTTTCATACATTGACCTTACTCACTCTTCTTCACGCTCTCCATTCACCCTTCTTCTCTCACTAGTAAACTGAAGACTTTCAAGGCAAGTTTGCCCATTCCCTGGACATTGAGCTGGAACGTTCACTGACAATTCCCATGTTATGTGAAAGCTGGTCAGCCATGAGGTTCCCTTAACCCTGGGGACTTCCACACAGCCTCACAGCATCCCACAGGTCTACTCCATCTCCACAGAACACTCCCTCCCCACTCGCCTGACTGCTGCTGGCACCAAACTTTCCTACTCTGGCTGTGGGCCCTGGAGTCTGTTCATTTGTGTATTCTGATGGCTCCCTTGCTCTTCTACCTGGGAAAGCTTCTTTGGAGCAGGGGATAGCCCAAACACATTTCCATGTGTCCATGTCTGAGTAGATACAGAGCAGGCTACATGTGGTCATGCATGAAGGGAGGCCAGCAGCCACAAATGCTGAAGCACAATGGCAGCCAAACCCAAGTGTGATATGGCCTCTGCAAAGGTTAGGCCACCTGCTGTATAAGTAAATGGAACATGGAGATAGCAGAACAATAGCCACCAGCCAGGGTCTTCTGAAGGATGCCTTTCCATGGGCTATCCCCACCCCTTCCAGCAACTGGCTTTTATTTAAGAACAGTTCCTTGCTAACACATTCATGCCATTGAATAACAGCAGCCAATTCCAGATTAATTTCAATTATGTAAATAACAGAATATAAGTGTTCAAACCCATCAAGGTGGATTATACATGTGTAGTGGTTAAGAATATGGACTCTTCCCCTACAGAGCAGCCCCTACCCTCAACCAGGGCCTGGGACAGGGCAGACATGTGACCTCTGTCACATGGATACTGGTTCCTTGAATGAGTGGATGAGCTCTGGAGTCAGACTACTTTGGTTTCTGTCCCCCCCCTCTCACCTACTAGTTGTGTAGTCTTGGAAAGTTTCTTCTACCAGCTAAGATTCTTGTAGAGTGAGGAGAAAATAGATACTGAGGGAATTCAATGAGGCACAACCTGGTGAGTTCGCTGGGTATCTGATATCAGCACTAATGGTTCTCAGCACCTAACCGACTGACAAAGATGTCTCATAACCTCTCTAATTTGCTTGAGCACAGAATGGAGTAGTCTTCTAAGTGTTTTGATGACACAGGAGGTAGAAAAACAGGAAGGAAGTTTTTTAAACTTTGATTTTATTTCACCTGGCTTTTGTTTGACAACCGCTGTGACTAAATGGTTTTTGTGACCCAGTTCCCTGTCTTCTGAGATTACTGAATGTAGGTGCTTGCTATCTCCGTGGAGATGACTTACTTGAAAGAAATGCAATTAAAGAGTTGTGATTGTTCCTAGTTTCTATCCACGTGAGTACAGCATATCCAGACCAGACTCCCGTGTTCCCTCACAGTGGACCTCACAAAGAAATGATTAAATGCAGCAAACAGACTTGAAAAGTCTCCTCTTCAGGGTTGCTGGGATTATGACCAGCTGGCTTCCTACCATGCCCACTGCCATATGGGTCAGAGTCAATGCCTGCACTGCCCGTTCACTCCTTCCTGGCAGAAAAGGTAGCATAGCCAGCACTAGAATTCCTACTGTGCACCAGACAACAGCTAATTCTTCACATGGATTATACCATTGCAATTCCCTGTAGGGTAAGCACAGCTATCACACTCCTCTTAGGATGAGGAAGTCCAACTTCAGGGAGGTAAAACAGCTTGCCCAGGATCACACATCCTGTATGCAACTGAGCCCAGTGACCATGTGCCCATCCTTCTGTCCACCACTGTACAGGGATGACTACATGGCCGAGCAGAGGCCCCCCTCATTTTTTTTACACTGGGAGGAGCAAAGAAAGGGAGTGTGGAAATCTCCTGCCTTGACTATTTCCTTGAATTGAAAAGGGACCGTTTGTTCAGTGAGTGACAGGAGAAAATTTGTAAGAATGTTGAGTGATTTCACATCAAGTATTCTCTATCTCTTCTTCTCATTTTTCAAAATGAAGTTGCTTGGTACTTCCTTCTCTCAGTTTTTACACATATGCACATAACTTTTTTTTTTCTTTTTTCTGGTGCTGGTGATTGAACCAAGGGCCTTGCACCTTTCACTGCTGGCAAGCGCTCTACCCTCATAACTTTTAAGGTGACTTTTTTTGTGTGTGTGCTACTGGGGCCTAAACTCAGAGTCTTCACCTTGAGCCTCTCTACTAACTCCCCCCACCCCCGCTTTTTTTCTTTTGTGATGGATTTTTTCAAGATAGGGTCTCACAAACTATTTGCCTGGGCTGGCTTCAACCTCGATCCTCCTGATCTCTGCCTCCTAAGTAGCTAGGATTATAGGCGTGAGCCACCAGCGCCCAGCAAGTGTATGACTTTTTAATAAAACAGTATTTTCATTAGAAACTGTTTCAGATACACCTTTTTGTTTTTGAGATGGGATCTCACTATGCTGCCCAGGCTGGCCTATAATTCCTTAGCTCAAATGATCCTCCTGCCTCAGCTGCCCAAGTAGCTGGGTCTGCAGGCATGTGCCATATGCCTGGGGCCATATAATTTTTATAGACTAATTCTATTATCGACCTAAATTATAAAAAAATTTTATAATTAATAGATATAATATGAAAGGGATGCCCAAGATATTTCAGCCTTGGATATAAAATTTAAATATATAGAGATATTTGGTATTATCCACTTCTATCAAGTAGTCATTTTCTTGGAAAAAGGAAAAAAAAAAAAAGCTCTGAAGATACATCCAACTTTGTATCTTAGTAATAGTTTTCTAAGCTCACTACTTTCATGATCTTCCTGTGAAAAGTAAACACCCATGGTAAAGATTGAATAATGAGTGGGTTCCTGAAACTGAGTTCACTTTACATCTCAAATGATAAGTATGTATCAAAGACTTATAACCAAGTAACTTGTTAGCCTGTAAGCCAAGGATATGTTTCTTATAGATTAGTGTATACATAATATACACTATAATTGCATTTTGTATAAATTTAGTACAGTAATACTATGATACGAAATATTTTTAGCCCTCACTTTATAAAGAAATGTTAAATAAGGAAAATAATTTTTTAAGTCACCATGAATGGCATATACCAGGTTGCTGGGCCAAGTGGACTGTGACCCATGTGAAGTATATTGCCACACATCAGCTGGCCTCACAGGAACATTTCTTTATCAAGAAGAGTACTGAATTACACAAGGTCTTCAAAAAACGTATCCTTCTTTCAGAACATGACCACCCTGCATTACTTGTGATAACTTTATGTTGTAATAACGTGCTTAATTTCCTAAAAAGAAATTAGTTCTAAGTATTTCATGCAAATTTACTGGAAGGAACTGTTAGGTCCTTGGAAAACCTGCTATTTTCCAACTATCTGACTATTGGGACAGTCAAGGATGAATCTTGTCATGCATTGCTTTCTTCCTTTTTAAGTGAGTATTAATTTTCAAATTAATAAAATTTAATAAATTCAAATTTATTAAAATTTAATAAATTCAAATTTATTAAAATTTAATAAATTCAATTTTATTGATAAATAAAACCACGCAGTATCTTCTTAGTCCTTTAGGTGAAGTTCAAGTTCTCCCATATTTACCTACCAACATTTTAAAATTAGACAGGAACAGCCTAGGGGTATGATACAGTGGTAGAACTCTTGCCTAGAAATGAAATATAGAATACTGAAATTCAAAATATACAGGAAAATAGGTTTTAGAAAAATACCCATCTTTTCTAATTAGAAAAAAATCCCCTGATGTCCATTCCCCATTGCTAGTCACATTTTAAAAGAATTTTGTAGTTTTGCCCTAGGAAATTCCACACTTTTGCTTCTTTATTCTCCAAGATTATTCAAGACTTTGATGAGCCTGGGAGCAGGGTCCTTTAAATGGGAGGCTCCCCTGGGTGATCTGTAGTTTGGAAGGTCACATCATTTACTTAACAAATGGGAAACTCCTCAGTCAAGGAACCCTAGAGCACCTTAGACTTCCTCAAGCCATTTAATTATCTTGTTGAATCTGGATCCACAGACAACTCTAAGGCCCTGGTCCATCTTTCAGCACCATCCAGAAATGCAGAATCTCAGGTCCTACCAGGTGTGCCAAGAACTTTACCAAGTTCTTCAGGTGATTTGTATGGACATTAAAGAGTGTAAAGAGCTGATCGAATGACACCTTACAGCTAACCCAAAGTCCTGGGAGACTGAGACCATGCACAAGACCAAAAATGTGACAAAGAACTGGCATGCTTTGGGTTTAAATTCCTTTCTGTGCAGAATTTCGGTTCATGTTTTCTAAATGTGTGTGAAAATGATGTATCTGACTCTTTAGCACATGCTGGCCAGTTGTCAGTGCATTTCTGCTGACCGACCTGTTTCTTGTTTTCAGTCCTGACGTAGCCCTCCCTGAGGACCAGCCACATTCCAGCTCGCAGTGCACCCCTCTCCACTGTCTCTCCAAGCCTCCTTGCCCCTAGTCTCCATCTTCTGTGGACGAACATCTCCTATGGCTGAAGGTCTTGTAGCCACACATGGGATACTGCCCAAGATCTGCCCAGTGTTTTCTTCTCGGTTGTTAGATGTCCAGTTGGATTCATGTCCACCATTTTGGAAGAGGAAAGTTGAGAAGAAAAACACAAAGCACAGACCCTAGTGTGATCAGTTTATGGTTTCTCTGAGTCACAGATAAACTGCAATCAAATGGCTACAGTTCAGTTAACTTAAAAAAAGAAACATGAAACATGTATCTCAGATGACTGGCTTTACCTCGATAGTGTAAGGGAGACCTAAGACAATATAAAATACATATGTTGTAAAATCATCTTTCCTCACACTCCAAATTCAGCTAGTCTATTCCAATATGTTTTGCTATCGATATTTATTTTGTACTTTATTTGCTACATGATTTATGTCTACAAAAATAATTTCTGTGAGAGGAGAATTTAATTCATTTATTTTCAACAAAGCATAGTTTGCTCAGTTAAGTAAGAGTTTTGATTTAGTTGGATATTTGTAATTGACCAGACTGTGGTCATTGTCTTGCACAAAATGATAAGTGAGGTGCATCAGAATGTTAACAATAACTATTTTGCTGCTACACTGATATCATTTATGCACTTATTTTCTAATCAGTGACTAATTAACTGCTGGGTTTTGTCTTTGTTTTTAAAACTAGAGCTCTTCACTGGACATTAGGAAGTAAATCTAAGAAAGAGACTAAGTTATGATTCTCTGATTCAAGTTGTGATGGCATCTTTAATTTCTTAAACCTACAGATGAGTAGATGTATGGTGCTGCTCCTTTGTGTGTATGTGTGTGTGTGTGTGTGTGTGTGTGTGTGTGTGTGTGTGTGATCATGTTAAAGAAGGCTAAGATGACTTGAAGGGAAAAAAACGGTGTGTTCATTTAACAACCAGAATTTTTTTTTTTTACTTCTTCCAAATTCAGGGTCCTATTATGAGTCTTTCCTGCTAAGAGGTATCAAGAACAAATGTGAAGACATATTCATAGATAGATAAAAGGTAGTCTTGACTAGTTAATTTACCCAGAAAATGTTCAGATTTTGACTAAAATTGTATGTTTTGTTGTTTGGTTCTTTTCATAATGAATCTTCCTTGCCAAAAACAACAGATAGTAAACCTTATCTCATTGTCAACTTCTGATAAACACTCAGGTGCCTATGATCATATTATATTGAGATAAGACATGTTCCTAGTTAATTTACAGATTCTGCTAGTAACTTTGATGACTTGATTTAAAGCAATGGATTTTCATAGCAAAATTTATTTTGCACATAATCTGACAAACAAGGAAAACAGCTAATTGAGCTGCAAGGTCTAACATGGGCTCCTTAACTCTCACGTGCTGCCCACACAGTTGCTCCTAGCCCTGATTCCTTGTCCTTGTCAGGTAGCCTTAACTTACTTAGAAACGTAAGAGTCACCTTTTCATGTAACGGTATCTGTAACTTCTCTTCAAAACCGAAAATAGTCCTTACTGCTAACAAAGGACAGTTGCCAGAATGGGGTACTAACAATGGAGATCTTGAGTGGAAGGGGGTGGCACACCCATGGAGTGGTCAGGCATAACACACATCCTGGGAGCTCTTGTCAGTTACAGGCTGTACAGTACTGTTACCAAAGCAACCAAGAGGCTTTGTGTCCCTTACATGAGTGCTATTTTCATTAGTGTCATTTCTTATGCAACTTGGAGTACACAGTTGAAATCTTCACTAAAATAGAGAGTCAGGTTAAAGGACAGAAACAGAAACAAACAGATCTTCATGAAAGTCCTACTCACAGTATCCTCACATGTTCCTATCCACATTGCCTTGCCATTCCTACACATTGTCCTCATTTTCCTGGTGATGCATCTGCCTGGTGCCCATGTTAGTGAGACAGTGCAGATTTGTTACAGTCAATGAAAGAATGCTCTCCATACCTGCCCCTCCCACCTGAAAATCATGTTTGCACCTGAGAAGTGACATAGCTGCTAAATTGACTTTGTGCCTGAGGGAATGAAAACAAACCATGCCTTTTAACAAGTACCTCAGAACATCTTTCTCTTTGCCTCATCAGTTCTGGTGGGTGGGATGGGAACTCAGCAGGGCCTTGACTACGAAACCACAGGGCAGGCAGCACTGGCACACTGCATTTGTGCTCCCTTACTCTGGGTAGTCACGTCATATTTAAAACATTTCTTTCTTCCACTTCGAAATTTATTGTTGGCTATTATAAACCAGTTTTACTTTTTTAGCTGAATAAACTGGGAAATGCTTGTTTTGAATATTAATTCTATAAAATACTAATTTTAGCAAAAATTTGCCAAGAAGTTATAAGAACTTGGAAATAAATTCCTCTTTTTCAGCACAAAATTAGGTGACAGTCCCTAAGCAGTAAGAGAGAATACTATGTATTTACACTGTGGCATCACTTAGGATAGTTTAAACTGAGCCATATTTATATTTATTTGTAGACATTTTTAATGAATTTTAAATGTGTAGCGTTGATAAAAAAAAATGAGTACCTGTAATGATAACATCAGGATTAAAAGGGTTAAAAAAGAAAAACCCTGTGAAATCACAAAGAATGAACTTCAGTAAGATTAATTGAAGATTCATTAGAAGAGGAAAAACAAACTGCAGAGATACACTAAAAATGCTGGCTAATTATCACAGACAAGGCAAGCAAGATGAACCAGACCTAGCAAGTGTGGTTAGCAAAGGAACCAAGTTGTCTTAAAGTAAGCACAATTACAATTCTGAAACAAAGAGCTGGTGTGCAGAACAGCTTTCCTACTGACAATTTTTCTTAACTAAAAAATAATAGTAGAATGAAAAGGAGCAATAAATTGTCCTTAGTCTAAGTGCTTGGGGCATGAAAATACTTGGAAGAGTCTTTTCAATCAACTCATGCTTTTATCAAATCCCTTTCAAATATCCAATCCTGGATCAAAAAAAAAAAAAAACAGGAATTTGAAGAACTTTTAGAAAACACAAAGTTATTAAATAATTAAGAAAAAACTTATTCAAAATTTCTACTTTATTTAGCCTAAGGGAGAGAAAGGACAATAGTGATCTTCCAGAAAAGAGAATTTAAGAAATGATAGACACCAGCCATAGATATCACAGAGACTAGACTAAGAAAGACTTCAGCATGAAGAGTTTGTAATAACTCCAGGAAAGAGATTTTTAACAGTGGAAAATTCCCAATGGGATTGATTGTCATAAGAAAGATTTGGGTTTTTTTATTTTATTTTAATATTATTGGTGGTCTAGCAAGTAGTGGCAAGACATCTTACTATAATACATTATCATTCCAGGAGCCCATAATCCAAGGATTCTTTTATTTTTTAATTTTAAAATAGATAAATGTTTTACTGGTTAATCATCAAGTATCTTATCCTTTGAAATTGGATAGCAATCTTCATTTCTTGAAGATATTTGTTTTTTAAAAAAGGATTGTTCCTATTTTTCCTTTAGCTATATTTCATAATTTCTTTAAAGCCATCCAGAATGTAGCAATTTTACAATTTAAAAAAAACCTCGTTTGTCAGAGTCTAAAAAACAAATGTCCTCAGGAATACTTCATAGGCAGCAGGTGTGCAATCCCTTAGGGGGAGAAATGCCTCTGAAATTTTATCTTTACTTAAAAGGATCTTCAGTCTTGAATATTCACTTTTTACATGCTGTGGAAAATATTCTTATACAGATAAGTCCTGCTGTTTTAAACAAGCATGAAACTTTGGTCTGGTAAACTAGCTAAGAATATGGAAATTTCCTGATATGTACTGTGTTGAATAAAATCCTCTCCAATTCTCAAGTGGAGATTGCAAATCATAAAATGAAGAAATGAAATATATTTTATACTGGGATAAAAATGTCAAGTTTATTGTCACAATCAATCAGCTAAAAGATATAATCTGTCTCTCAGAAAAACATCAGGGGGTGTAGGTCAGTGGTAGGGCATTTGCTTAGCATGCCTGAGCCTGAAGCCCAGGGCTCCATCCCCAGCTCCACAAAAAAAAAAAAAAAAAAAAAGAAGCGAGAGGGAGCAAACCACTGGTTCAACCCAAGGATGTCCCAAATGAATTGATACTGTAGATATACCTAGATTTGAAAGAAACTCTTAGTATAAGTTTCACAATTTTAAAAAAGTTTCCAGTTTTTTTGTTTATAAACCAGAGTGATTTAAAGTAGTGCTTGTATTTAAGATTGTAAAAAAATTTGCCATAGTAACATTTTCAAAGGGAAGAGAATATTTCCCAAGGTTGTTAAACTGGAGTTGTGCTAAACAGCATGATCAGTCCTGCCACTGAGAGTTCTTCACCTTGAAGTCAGTGTCTGTGAACACACATGACCCATCCAGCTCCCCAGTGAGTGACCGTTCCAGTTGTTTGTAATAATGCCTCCAGATGAGTTGTGTCTGAAATTCATCTTTATTTAAATGCCAATCTAACCACCCTAGTCCCTGACATATTCTTGCATTTGTAGCTGGACTGTTACTTTAACACCTGAAAGGTTTTATCTACACATCTCTTTTATCCTGTTACTCAAAGTATCCTTGAAAGAGATACTTAGTATTAAGGTATGTTCCCCAATTGAGGATTTCCCAGAAGTGATATTCTACTTGTAAAGAGGAGAAGCAATTAGGAGCCTTAGTGCAAGGCGAGATGCATAGAAGTGTGCAGTGTAAGGTGTTTGCATGAGGTATCTCACATCGCATAAGCTTTCCCATAGCCATAATAAGAATGCTCTAGAAATCTTTCTCTTTAACTTTTCCATTAGGAATGTAAGGAGATTGTCACATGTACCTGGTCTCCTTTCCATATTGACATGCATGGCTCTCATCTTCAATGTACTTGTACCTGTCTCCTCTGGAGTTATTTAACATCTGCCCTATTTGAACTGAAACCTCAATAACCTGCTGCACCAGAGTATTTCTGGGATTGGAGTTGAACTGCTGTACAACACTTGTGA